CGGCCGCCGGCGCCAGTGCGTACAGCTATCACTCAGTGTCACCGACTTTACCGCAGTTCATTGTACAAAGTTTTTTTTACAATGAACTTCAGTCAAGTCCGTGACACTGAGTGATAGCTGTATGTGGTTGTGTCACACACCTCGGTTCGTAAGTACGGGTTGTCCGTAAGTCGGGGACTGCATGTATAAATCTATGTTTGTCCTAAAAATTCACTGAGTGTTGACTGACCCCCAACCTCTGCTGGAAGTCTGTACCAAGTAATAACTACTCCTTCTGCAAAACAATATTTTCTAAGGTTAGTTTTGAACTTTCCTCCATCTAGTTTGAGGTCGTGTCCTGATCTCAGCTTCATATCGAAAATCCTGCCCTCCTGAACCTTATTCACACCCTTCATGTATCTAAAGGTTCCAGTCATGTCCATCCTTTCCCTTCTCTCCTCCATACTGTACATGTGAAGTTCCTGCAGTCTCTCCTGATATACCTCTACCTGCATTTTATGCCTCAGACCTTTTTCCATTTTTGTTGCCCATCTCTGGACTTGTTCTGTCTTATCAGTTTCTTATTGTAAGTGAGATCCTCAGAACCGGACACAGTATTCTAGATGAGGTCTAACTAAGGATCTATATAGAGGGATCAGAACCTCCTTCCTCCTGCTGGGGATCCCTCTAGTGATAATAAAGATCTATATAGAGGAATCAGGACCTCCTTCCTCCTGCTGGGGATCCCTCTAGTGATAGAGATCTATATAGAGGGATCAGGACCTCCTTCCTCCTGCTGGGGACCCCTCTAGTGATAATAAAGATCTATATAGAGGAATCAGGACCTCCTTCCTCCTGCTGGGGATCCCTCTAGTGATAATAAAGATCTATATAGAGGGATCAGGACCTCCTTCCTCCTGCTGGAGATCCCTCTAGTGATAATAAAGATCTATATAGAGGGATCAGGACCTCCTTCCTCCTGCTGGGATCCCTCTAGTGATAATAAAGATCTATATAGAGGAATCAGGACCTCCTCCCTCCTGCTGGGGATCCCTCTAGTGATAGAGATCTATATAGAGGGATCAGGACCTCCTTCCCCCTGCTGGGGATCCCTCTAGTGATAATAAAGATCAATATAGAGGGATCAGGACCTCCTTCCCCCTGCTGGGGATCCCTCTAGTGATAATAAAGATCTATATGGAGGGATCCTGACCTCCTTCCTCCTGCTGGGGATCCCTCTAGTGATAATAAAGATCTATATAGAGGAATCATGACCTCCTTCCTCCTGCTGGAGATCCCTCTAGTGATGGCTAAGGATCTATATAGAGGGATCAGGACCTCCTTCCTCCTGCTGGAGATCCCTCTAGTGATAATAAAGATCTATATAGAGGGACCAGGACCTCCTTCCTCCTGCTGGGGATCCCTCTAGTGATAATAAAGATCTATATAGAGGGATCAGGACCTCCTTCCTCCTGCTGGGGATCCCTCTAGTGATAATAAAGATCAATATAGAGGGATCAGGACCTCCTCCCTCCTGCTGGGGATGCCTCTAGTGATAACTAAAGATCTATATAGAGGGACCAGGACCTCCTTCCTCCTGCTGGGGACCCCTCTAGTGATAATAAAGATCTATATAGAGGGACCAGGACCTCCTTCCTCCTGCTGGGGACCCCTCTAGTGATAATAAAGATCTATATAGAGGAATCAGGACCTCCTTCCTCCTGCTGAGGATCCCTTTAGTGATAATAAAGATCTATATAGAGGAATCAGGACCTCCTGCTGAGGATCCCTTTAGTGATAAAAAAGATCTATATAGAGGAACCAGGACCTCCTTCCTCCTGCTGGGGATCCCTTTAGTGATAATAAAGATCTATATAGAGGAATCAGGACCTCCTGCTGAGGATCCCTTTAGTGATGCACTCCAATGTTCCATTGGCTTTACCAGCTACCAGGCCACACGGTTTGCTCATTCTGCAATCATGTGACTTAAGCACCCTTAAAGTCTTTTTCCTCCGTAGTTCTGGATAACGCTGCGCCCCAATATTATACTCTATCAGAGGATTATTTTTCCCTAAGTGCATGATATAAGTGTCTTTGGATGTTTGTTCTTCTCTAACTTGACACTATGAGGAAAATATAGAAGTTTATTTCAATAAGCAGCTTCTTTAAAACTGAAAGAAAAAAAAAAATCTGAAATGAAAGATGAAGTTGATCGATGGATGTTAATCCGCCGGTGAGATACAATTTGGTTTCTCATAACTCAACAACACGCTCTTAACATGTCTTGTCCAGTAGGACCTGTTTTATGTTTGGTGAAGGGGTATTGTGATTTTTCGCTGTCCTGGAGTTTTAACTAGCGGGAGATAATAAAAAAAATAACAACATCTTTGTAATTCTCTTCAGCCAATAATTCGATTGGATTGTGTTTCATTAATTCCAAACTGTGTTCCAACGCTTTTCAGACAGGTCACTGCGGAAGGCGGGAAAACCACAGACGGTCTAAATAAAATGATGCGTCAGTGACACCGAATGTGATCAAAAAACCAGATACACATCACACAATATTTTATCTTCAGCAACCAGGAAGGAAAATAATTGCAATATGATTCTGTGCGGAGCGGACATTTGGACCCCTTCCAATGTCCATTATGTCATCTTGCCATGGTGGCACCTGGTTGGAGCATGACACCTTTCGGGAAATTAAATAGTTCCAACAGTGGAGCGGCACATTAATATCTGTTCCCTGCCAAATGTCACTGTTCATTACCATTCACTTGATCCATTCTCATTACCATTGCCATCACTTGCCAGGGCACACTGTCCCGGATTTACTCTCGCTGCTGCCCGAAGGCCAGGTTCCTCAATGTGCCCCCCTACCCACCAAACCCCCCCCTTTCCCAATGGAGAATGGAAGACCTGCAGGCTGCATACAAGTGATCTCTGCATCATCGCTGAGATCACTTGTAGCTCCCCCGCTGTACATATAGCTCTGCTTGCTCAAAGCAGGGCTAGATGTAGAAAACAACTGCCCGCCCGGCGCCCGGAACTGCATGTCCCGGGCATCGGGAGATAGGAATTCCGCACCTCTGCTGCCCCTCTACTCTCTGCTGCCCCGAGGCCGGGCCTTGATTGGCCTTGTGGGAAATCCGGCCCTGATGGCACCTCTCCTCAGCCTTTGCACTGGGGGTCTGGTGTCTCTACATAGTGGCCCTGATGTGTCAATCAGCATTTCTCCTAACCCTCATTTCTCCTAAGGCATATTTGGAACATTGAGCATCTCCTAATCTAATTCATAATGATCACAATTTGGATTTATGGAGCATTGTAGCCCTTTTTTTACCTAATTTATGGCCTGCTGGACAGGCTTATTGACAGAAAATTTGGGGAACCCATTTATTTATTTTTTGTTCCACCTCTTTTGAAGTGGAGGTAACTGGGAACTGATAACAGAACAAGTGCAAATGGAGTCTTATGGAGTCTTCCAAAAACACTTTAGCTATGACATAGTTACAATCTTACAATTTCTTTAGGCATTGTTTTCTAATAGAAGGCACCCTTGCTGGAGATGAGTTTGTGTGGCTGGTAATTTTAGGGCAAATTATGGACAATCAAAACTATGGGGTTAGGGCTTTTCCCCATAGTTCTCCTTAGGGTAACAGGAGGACACAAACTAGCGTCCTCCCGTCACCCTAAGCTCAGTATATAGGGAGCTACAGCTCGCGGTATACTGAGACGCCGCAGCTGAAGCAGGCCCGACAATTATGTCTGGATCCGCCCAGCTGCGTGAGTGACAGCTGGCTCTGCCTATCTAGAGGCAGAGCCAGCTGTACCCGCCCCCTCCACCGTCCGTTCCGCCAGTCAGCACTGGAGGATCGGAGCGGGGAATCCAGTCCCTCCCCTGTCACGGCAGAGAGCAGTGACAGGATCGAGAAGTGAGCGAGCGCCGGTATGTGTTCGCTCACCTCCCGATCTACTGAGCCGACCTGTGACAGTCTCATTGTCACAGGTCGGCTAGAACTATGAGGTGAGTGAAAAGCCCCCCCTCCCCCCTCATAGTTCTCCTTTAATGATTCTTTCCATTGACAGCGGGGGTGTCATTGTGCCAAGGTGCAGCTCGGACATTTTCAAGTAGGTTGCTCTAGGAAGAGCCCCGCTATTCTCAAGCCACATGGCTACTGGAGCAGCTCATATCCCCCTGGTAAAGTTGGGAAGTGTGCCGCGTGTTTCCAAACATGAGACCATGAACACACTTCCCCCTTCTAAAGGAACTTGTGCTGTCCTGAAGAACAAGTTTCCTCGCTACTTGCTGCACCACTGTGAGTACCTACCTCCTACCCGCCCTCCTGTCTCTATCAGTCTACGTTCCAACAGCACTACCTATGGGATACCCTGATGGGTGTTTCTACTTCCTACCCACCCTCCGGTCTCTATCAGGCTAACAGCACTACCTATGGGATACCCTGATGGGTGTTTCTACTTCCTACCCACCCTCCGGTCTCTATCAGGCTAACAGCACTACCTATGGGATACCCTGATGGGTGTTTCTACTTCCTACCCACCCTCCGGTCTCTATCAGGCTAACAGCACTACCTATGGGATACCCTGATGCAGGGCTGTAGCTACCATGGGGCGAGTAAGGCACTCGCCTCAGGCGCAGCTGAGAGGGGGCTCACCTGGGGCCGGCCTGGCGGCGCCCCGTTGCCCCTGTTGCCATTACGAGCATGTGTGCCCCATTCTAGAGGCGGGGCGCATGACGTCGCAAACCGCACACAATTTTCTGTTTTTGCCTCGAGCGCAAAATGAGATAGCTACGGCTCTGCCCTGATGTGCTTTTCCTACTTCTTACTCGCCCTCCTGTCTCTATCGGGCTAACAGCACTACCTATGGGATACCGTGATGTGTTTTTTTATTTGAGTTGTAATGAGAACTTGCATTATGAATGAACTTTAGGCTTTGTTACACAATTGCGTAGCTGATTATTGATCACATCAAGTTCTCTGAGACGACACAAACTGACTTACCCGGCCCGCTCCTTGAGTTTCTTGTCAGTGATTCCGTCTTTGGATACCAGTTTATTGAACACTAAAATGCCGATGACCATGTTGACCTGTATGAACAGAGATGTTACTTATAAGATAATATTGTTACCAAGAATATAAAACATTCATGCTACAGAATACTAATTTACAGTAGTGCATTTTCTAATACAGAGACAATGTAACTAATATCCGTTCTAGATGACTCCTTAGGTTACTACCGTCACTGCAATGTTACTTCTTATATAATCATTACCCATCCAAGATCAGCTCTGACGTGACCTGGACTCCTCCAAGAATGATATTCCTTTCAGATATCACTGCTTTCCATAAGTCATTACTTACAGTATATCTGGTGTGCTCCCTATATTGCTTTTTAATGTCCCCTGCGTCATCCCCTCATGTCACCACTATCTTACCTAGGTTACTTCTAAAAGGCCTGAATATTCCTTCTCTATTACTCCACAAGTCACCACTATTCCTCATATCTTACTCCTGGAGTCACCACTATTCATCTACATTACTCCTGAAGTCACCACTATTCATCTACATTACTCCTGAAGTCACCACTATTCCTCTATGTTACTCCTGAAGTCACCACTACTCCTCATATGTTACTTCTGAAGTCACCGCTATTCCTCATATGTTACTCCTGAAGTCCCCACTATTCCTCTATGTTACTCCTGAAGTCACCACTATTCATCTACATTACTCCAGAAGTCCCCACTATTGCTCTATGTTACTCCTGAAGTCACCACTATTCATCTACATTACTCCAGAAGTCCCCACTATTCCTCTATGTTACTCCTGAAGTCCCCACTATTCCTCTATGTTACTCCTGAAGTCCCCACTATTCCTCTATGTTACTCCTGAAGTCCCCACTATTCCTCTACATTACTCCTGAAGTCCCCACTATTCCTCTATGTTACTCCAAAGTCACCACGATTTCTCTATGTTACTCCTGAAGTCACCACTATTCCTCTATGTTACTCCAAAGTCAACACTATTCCTCTATGTTACTCCTGAAGTCACTACTATCATATTCACCTCATATAGTACTTCTGAATATTCCTGAAGCTACCACAATTCCTCATACATTACTCCTGATGTCTCCACTATCCTACCTTTGTTACTCCTGAAATCTCCCCTATTCCTCTACGTTACTCCTGAAGTCACCACTACTTCTCATATGTTACTTTTGAAATCACCATGTTGCCTCTATGTTACTCCCAATGTCACCACTATTCCTCATATGTTACACCAGAGGTCACCACTTTGCCTCTATGGTACTCCTGAAGCTACAGCAATTCCTCATATGTCCCTCCTGATGTCTCCACTACCCTACCTATAGTACTCCTGAAGTCACCACAATTCCTCTATGTTACTCCTGATGTCTCCACCACCCTACCTATAGTACTCCTGAAGTCACCACAATTCCTCTATGTTACTCCTGATGTCACCTCACCACTATCCTTCCTATGTTACTTCTGGCATTCCACGTTATTCCTCCTAGGTTACTTCTAAGGTTATCTCCGATGTTACTCCTGTTTTATCTAATATTTCTCCAATCTTACTCCATGTATCACCAATATTCCTCCAATAGAACTCCTCATGCCACCTCTATTCCTTTCTATCTCCATCTCCCGATGTAAAATAATAACTACATCTCAATAGGCTTTTTCTACATGTTCGAAATGGCAGACATCGGATCTTCCTTCAAATATCGCCTACAGAAAAGGTTGCCATACATGAGAACTTAATCTGGTTTAGTCATTCCCATCATTGAAATGAAAATGCAGATTTGCGACAAAGAAAAAGTAAGTACACCCCTAGATTTACCATTAATTCAAAATCAATGAAATTAGATTTTGGTGTCTTTCAGATTAGGTGGCAATGATTGGAAGCTTCTAGGGGAGTGTGCAGGAGGAATCTGGCAAATTATCTTGTTGTGTTATTCAGGGATATCATCTTTACCTGTAGGCTCTGTTAGAATGAAGATCTCATGTTTGCCCGGTCTCAAATTGTGTCAAAAAGTTAACCGTTTTCATGGGGTGTACTTACTTTTTCACAGAATTTCATGTTACTGATGTCATTCCTGATATCATGAAAATTATGGTGCCCACCAGTCACACTGTGAGGAACCGGATCTGAACCCAGGACCTGTGCTGTGTCTGGCGGTGGCTCTACATGGTGAGCAACCTTGGATAGCTCCCTTGCCTGGTCTCCTGTGTAATCCTCAGGTAAACCTAGTTTCTGCTGAACTCTGAACTTCCTGCTCCTCCCTTCAACTTGCTGTTTAAGCCACGCCTCTGCACTTCCTGTTTGCCAGATTATTGAGCTCCTGCCAATATCTTGCTTCCAAGCTCCTCCTGTGATACAATCCGCTCATACTGCTACCTGTGTACCGACCTTTGGCTGCTGATTCAGACTACTATCATCGTCTTCTGCTTCATACCTGATACCTTTGGCTACTGACCTCAGCTTGATCTCTGACTACGCTTCTGCCTGCTCCTCCACTACTACCGTCTGCTTGTGTACCGAACCCGGCCTCTTATACTATGACTTTGCCTGCTGTTTCAGCTACTGGACTCTGAGCCTGATCCCAGACCGTGACACACAGTGACCAGGTTTCTGGTAATCTGGGCAGTTACAAGAGGCCATGTTGGTCATAACCACCAATCAGATACCAGCTTACGGGAGGCCATGTTGGTCAAAGCCAACGATCAGATACAAGCTGAGATTTTTTTCCAATGCCGATGGGAGCAAGAAAGCTAAAACCCGTGCGGCTGTCCTAGGTGACATCACGGTTCCACATGTGCACTCCTTATACAGTAGCACTGAGGATTTTAACCCTTAGGCGGCAGAGGAACAGCCGAGAGCCGTGTTGTCAGATACTGAACTTGCAGAAAGTCAAACAGTGATTCCAAGAAATAGGGATTATGGCAGAATTTATAATCCTTAAATCATTATTGGTGGTGATTCAGAATGCAGGATTAGCGTCCTGTGAGATCATTAATCCCCTAACTGTTTATGAGGCTTCTGAGCACAGCCACCGCCGTGGCAAATCCGCATCCAAGAAAGGACAACTCTCAGTGTATCAGAATGAAAGGCACAATGTTCAAGGAATAATAACAATTAAAAAATATATATAATTATGATTCATCAAACAAAATACCAAAACAACAGCGGCAGCCGGTCCGACGAAGGCGTAGAGCAGTCCTCCTTCCAGAGACAGCCAGCAGCTGCAAGAGACAAAGCAATCAGTTCAGCTTAATCCATCCATAGCAGCCCTTCTCCGCCTCACATCGTGTACCCAATAAGACATTATTCATATTCCTCAGATACCTCCACGTGCAGCATTTATTATCATGAGAGCCTAACAGTAGTTACATCAGAGGTGGACAAATCAATATGGAATTCAGAAGCCAGCAGGATTTTTGATGGGAGTCAGCTCCATTGCCAACATCTAAGGAGAACCTCAAAAGTTGTGCACCGGATGTAGTTTTGAAGGAGCATTGGTGACCTGGCTCCTGGGATTTGTCCAGCCCTGAGGTACACTATATTGCCAAAAGTATTAGGCCCCTCTGTGACGGACCGCCTGGTACCCCGACTGGGTACCTCCGCCAAAGAGCGTCTCCTGCACCCAAACCCCAATTGTTTTTCAGCGGCTGGGCTCCGCCCCTTAGTTCCAGTGAAGGGAACTCTTAAGACATCAGCACACCAAGACATTTTGGACAATTTCATGCTCCCAACCTTGTGGGAGGAGTTTGGGGATGGCCCCTTCCTGTTCCAACATGACTGCACACCAGTGCACAAAGCAAGGTCCATAAAGACATGGATGGGGGAGTTTGGGGTGGGGGAGGAACGTGACTGGCCGCACAGAGTCCTGACCTCAACCCCATAGAACACCTTTGAGATGAATTAGAGCGGAGACTGTAAGCCCCTCCCCCAACATTGTGGATGCCTTCCCAGAAGAGGCGGAGCTGTTATAGCGGCAAAGGGCGGAGCCAACCCAATACTGAACCCTACGGACTAAGACTGGGATGCCATTAACGTTCATGTGCGTGTAAAGGTGTCCCAATACTTTTGGCAATATAGTGTATATTATTCAACAACAGTTTCTAAATATCATGAGGTGTCCTTATTTAAGTTTGAGGTTCCAGGTTCATATATTAAAATATCATAAGCCGAAACTTTTACTTCCATAAGCTTTGTCATAGATCACATCAGAAGACTCGTCTCAATGAACTCTAGGAGAGGAAGTTCCCCTTCCAATGGGGGGATCCATATGGTGCTTATTTGGCATTCATATACATCCATCAGACAATGACATTCTGCATCCCGTTGGCTCCTGGTGATGATTCCATATATTGAAATCTACAATGATCACCGCAGGAGCTCAGCAGACCGACGGAACCCCTTTATGAGCTCCAGTGTTCTAGGAACCCCCTTTATATCCTTGAATAGGAGGGTCTCCCCGCTCCTTAACATGGCGGGTTGGGATCTCTATTAATACAGACGCATCCCCCACATTTCCCGATGAAGGAGAAAGCACTTCTGACAGGGGACCTGATGGGAGCAATTGAGGGTACTTACTAATACTATAATGATGACCAGCACTATAATGGGGAGCACTATCATGGAGGCACTATAATGGGGAGCAGTATCATGGAGGCACTTTAAGGTGGAGCAGTATAATGGGGGGCAGTATGATGGGGGCACTATAATGGGGAGCAGTATGATGGGGGCACTATATTGGGGAGCAGTATCATGGAGTCAATATATTGGGGAGCAGTATATTGGGGAGCAGTAAAATGGAGGCAGTATATTGGGTGAGCAGTGTAATGGGGGATCAGTATATTGGTGG